TTTAATAGTTTTTGGACAACAATGGCAATAAAGGGGAACATTTTTTGAGCTGATCATTTTAGCTAATAGCCTATTTGTATATTGCGGACATATCAGTAACGTATTATTGGTATCAGCGTATATGCTATCCGATATGCACCGATACGGATATATATTAGAAATTTTCAAAGTTTATCCAGCAGAGTGCGCTGTTATTTACAATACTGTGTTAAGCAGCACAGTAAGAGAGAAGTAGCAGCTGTCAGCAATGTTAACTAGAATTGTTTGACAATGTATGTGTTCAGTTATTTATGTTAAATATTCTTTAATAAAGTTATTTGTCATTAGTTACAGTTACTAGTTACACAAAAGTAATGTAAAAATAATTAGTTACTTTTAATTGCATTACTTTTAAATCCCTGCTTAATTATCTTATTAATCCCCACAGCTGTCCACTATATTATTTTACTGTTGCTAATGACAAACAAATATTAATATTCCCGATTACCAGTTGTTGCTGCCCTCTGGTGGCCACTACACTTGTTGTATTGTATTGGTTAGTAGAAGGATTTAGTAAAAGACACACGTGAATGTACGCATTAACCAAGCTTAGCTACAGTAGTTAGTTAATAAATAATAATTGTTATTATTATATTAATATTTTATCAAGGGGATACGCTTGGATGCTCTGCATTTCTGTTCTGTTCTGTTCTTCTGCAGGCAAAATCGATGCACAACCCTTGTAGAAAAACAAACAAAAAAATGTATTCCAGCTCAAAAACTCACTATATCGGCCGCCATATCAGTAAATTGTTCTCCTCTAAAATCAGTATCAGTCTCAAAAATCCCACATCAGTTGGGCTCTAACAGTAATATTGCCTGGTTGCAATGCTGCTACAGTCTTTTTTTTAAATGCTGGAACTGTAATGAGTAAGATATGTATGGATAAAAGTTCAAAAATGAGGTAAGAGAAAGACAGAGACACAGAGAGAGAGACAGGCAGAGAGACATAGAGGGAGACAGAGACAGGCAGACAGTATAGTTTAATGATTCCAGATGAGCTGAGTGGTCTGCCTGACAACTGAAATGAACAGGAATCAATAGTGAGAGCGTCTGTCTGCGGCAGATAAGACACACACACACAATGTTGACTATTAAAGACGACAGCTTGAGATATTACACTATTAGTTATGCTATTTTTAATCAGCTATCATATTTAATTAATTCTTCAGGTCAGATGCTATCTGAGTGTCTAACTGTGGGTATGTGTGTGTGTGTATGGTGGGGGGGGCTGTGTCTGCGCACGGGTCAAGTGTGTGTGAGTGGAGGATGGGGGGTTATTACTCCTGTAATGGGGAAGAGGAGGAGGGCTAATCTAAAATATAGAACCTTGAAAAGACACAAAATAGAAAAACAGGAGTGATGGAAGAAGCAGAGAGAGGGATGAAAACAGGAGGCAGACAGGGACAGGAAAATAATTTGGACTATTTGTTTAATAATAATAAATGGAGTTATACTGATGTGGGTTTTGAAAGCCAGTGATTTTTAGATTTGTTGATAGCAGACAATCAATATTTTTACATTTTTTAATTTCATTTATAAATATTCAGTGTTTCTTGTCAAGCCTGTCAAACTTTGATTTAAAAAATCATATATAGTTTATTAAATGTATGTGTCATTATAACGAGCTCATGAAAACGAGCGTTTTGGAATTAGAGTGTGTACCGTATACAGTCTGAGATATGAATGATATGGCGTGATTCGATTTCTCCATTCACAAAAACACACATATTGAAATATGATCAGTTAATGTGGTATATGTGTTTTTGAATTGAGGGATGCACCATGGAATATACCTATAATAGGAAGAATTATGCAGATTTATTTTTTTAAATGTATGTAATAATAATAGTAATAATAATAATAATAATAATTAATAATCATGCAAACATTTGTGGACTGTGTCAGAATCCATCCAATAATTAAGTATTGATCAGTTGCACAATAATAACAGTGTAAAGTGGATCATATCAGAGGACACTCAACAGTGAATAAATGTCCAGCAGTGTGATGTGTGTTCACTGCAAGCAGAGACAGAGACAGTGGAGGGCTGAGGAGATGAAGGTTGTAGGTCTGATGAAAGCCTCGCTATCATCACCTCACTCTGACCGGCCACCAGTGTGAGATCAGGCAGCTCAAGCTGCTAATTATAGTAATTATGATTCATTACTGGCTGAGATTAATTTAATAAAGAGGAGGCTGAGCAGAGCTCGTTAACCTTCATTAGAATAATTATAGACGCAAGACACACACAGGCTCACTCTCACACACACACACACACATGCATGCTGACTGGTGAGAGGGAGAGGCTTGGGAGCGTTCCCACAGTGTCCGCTGGCACACACTGTGGGAACCGGGACTGCCAACTGGTGTGCATGTGAGTGTTGTGTGGTGTGTGTGTGGTGTGGTGTGGTGTGGCTGGTGACTGGTGCTGTGTGCGTGTGCGTGTGTTGTACGATGATCATTGTGAGGAGCAATCGTCATTCTAACAATAATAAAATGAGGCAGAAAGGGCTGCTTAGTGTGAGCATTTTGCAGATCCTCACTTTAAGGTAATTATTAATTATGAGTCAGTCACCCCCTCCTCACACACTCACACAAAACTGTATTATGGCATTTTACCAATACTGCACACTTTTATATAGCTACTGTTCTGAACCTTTATTGTTTATTGTTATTGTATATTGATGGTATTATTATTATTACATTATTTAATTGTATTTATTTATCATTATTACATTACTGCTGCCATTCATTTTATTTCTTATGTTATTGTTGTTGTAGCTTCTAAATTATCTGTTTTATTACACAACATCATTCAGTAAATTTTAGGTGTTCAGTCTAGGGCCAAAAGACAAAGCATTTCATTGGGCTGTCACAGATTGTGGAATAGGGTTAGATTGATGTTTAAACTTACCTTTTGAGTATTAAGTTGTTATACATCTTTAATTTGACCTGGTAAACCTTTTATTTATTTACCCTCAGTGGACTCCAGAAGAGGCTGCCTTGCTGCTCGGACTCCATCTGCAGATAAAAACCATAATAACAGTAGTTAACAGGCTGATTTTCCCCACCACTTCTCCTCTGTTCATTCTTCCTGTAGCAGTGTGTGTTGGCAGTGCTTTATAGTTTTCTTCCACCATAGTTAAAATGCTAATATTTCCCAAGGTGAATAAGCTGCTGTGATATTTAATATAGTTAATATATTGACTGTTTTAAAATAAAGCCATAAAGCCTCTGGGCGGAAGCAGGAAGTAGATCAAAAGGCTCCCGTAATGGGTTCAGCTCTCTGATTGGCTAATCATGTCTCATTGTTTCAGCCATTATTTTGCTCAACTTTTAATTTCTTCCTTCTAAGGATCATTGAGCAAGGCAATTACATGGAGCTGACCTTGTGTATTAGGGCCGGGGAGGAGGACAGGAAAGATGTCCCATCAATGCCGCTTTCTTTTTTTTTTTTTTTTTAAATTTCTTCCACAACAATATAAAAAGTGTGGCGTCAGAGCCTCCATCACTATTCCCCTCTCTCCTCTGTGGCCGAAAGTGAGAGTCAACGGAATATTAAGTCCCTAGCATTTGAATAAACACGTCGTGTGTTAAATCAAAATCCAATTCTGTGGTCTATTATTTTCTGGCATAGTAATGACTGCCAAGGATTAGGAATCAATATTTCACTGCAGCGGGGACATTACCGGCTTTATTCAGGCCGTAATTGAGTTTTGAGGAGAGGCCCTGCCCTGGAATCTGCATTAAAGATAAGGGCTCCTTTCATATGGATGCACAAGTAAAGCTCGAGCGAGGCTACACATCAATTACAGCTACGCCAGTTAACCTTGCAACACACCAGCTACTGTAACTCTGCTACACACTATAGTTAACGCTAATTCTAGCTATCATAGCTTATAACCGACTGTGGTAACTGTTGTCAACCTACCTGTACAACTACACCTGCTATACAGACTAAAAGTTCACCTGCTGCTAATAAAGCAACTAACATGTAAACACAGTAACATCATGTCTATGAGCCGGTGCGGCGGACTGTAAACTGAGAAGAGACAGCGCGCGCTTCCCGCTCTCTGCCTCTGTCTCTCCTCGTGCTCGGAGAGCGAACTGGCCGCAGCACTCCGCGAGCGCGGCCCGAGATAATAGACCATTAGTGAAAGTGGGATTAATTTGTAGCCAATTACAACCCCCAGAGTTGAATGGGAATGCATAAATAAGGAGGGAGACGCACACGCGCAGACATTAGGCTATATGTGAGTCCGATATGATAGTGGGTCCTCGAGGGGCCGGGGACAAACCAAAAAAGGCGTTGAGAGCCGCACGAGCTGAAGGAGAGAGCGACAGCGCGAGGCGAGAGAGAGAATGGAGAGAGAGAGAGGAGAGAGGGGGCTACACTTAACTAATGGGGAGAGAGGGACATAAGAGAGAGAGAGAGAGAGAGGGCGCGAGGCAGTTTTAACTATTGGAGAGATAGATCAGCGTCTGTCAGCCTTCCAGAGCGCGCGCACACCGGTGACCAGACAGAGCGCGCGAGGCTGGAGGTCGGGACGCCGAGCGCTGTTTATGTGTGTGTGCCAACACGGGATAACGGCGCCGTACAAGAAAGACAGACTTTAGATTACCGGAGACTTTGTGTTGCCGCGGTGGATGCGGAGGATGAAGGGAAAGAGCCGGAGGCAAGAAGACAGAGAGAAGAAGTTTAAACTTTAACGGGACCGCGACCGGTAGTCCGGTTAAAGACCGCAATCTGTCCAGACTCTTACCTATGGAAAACTTTAACGGACTGAAAACATAATCTCAGACTGGATGTTGACGGGACTCATGAACCGGCCTCCGTGTGAAGTTAATATTTTGGCATGAATATCCTTTAAAACGGTTTGAATCTTTTTCATTTTACACCGTTCCTGCTTTTTATTCCGGATTCTTAATAGGCTATATGGGAAAGGGAGAGTAAAGTGATGAACCGGGACAGAGCGGTAACGGGGCCCGGAGCGGACGGGGTCCAGACCGTGATAAACCGGGACAGAGCCGTAGCAGGGCCCGTGGCGGACGCAGTCCAGCCCGTGATGAGTCGGGACAGAGTGGTACCGGCCCCCTGCGGGGACGGGGTCCAGACCGTGGTGGGCCCGGACAGCGGAGACATGCTGGACGGAGGTGCCGCCGGGGAGAAGCGGCTCTTCTCCAACGCGGTGGCCGGAGGCAGAGATGCTCAGGCCGTGGAGAACCACTCGGAACCTCCGCCGACCAACCCGGTGTTGGCCCCGCCACAGCAGGTAGATGGGACCAAAGTTCATGGAGTTTCTGTGCAGGAAAGTGTTTTAGGAGCAGACAGGAGCCCGCCACAGCAGGCATAGACCATAAATACAAATACTAATAGATTCATACATCAAGCTCGGTGGAACACAGTAAGACTGTAGACATGCATCAAATAAAGACACATTTCGGTAGACACAGCTGCCATGAAAACATCAGTGAGAACTGCAGCGCCGAACATGAACTGTGCTTAAGAACAAATGAATGAAGTTTAAAGAGCGCGAGTGGAGCCATGTGTAGGCTGTTGTTTTTGTTTGGTTGTTTTTTACCATGATGTTGAAGGTAGTTTCGTTTTGTCACGTAAAGCGTCTTTGGCCCGGGCCTGCGCTGTCATGCTGTGTCTGTCCCTGCGTGCAGGCAGATGAGGCCTTAATTAAGATACAGCAGTAAAAAGAACAGTCAGTCTGCTGCGGTAATGTGATGGGAAGCAATACAAATAAAGCCGATACAATCAAACGCGTTTCCATAAACTCTCAGAGGAATAAATACTGCAGGCTGGAACCATACTGCGCTCCAATGCATACAAACCCAATGGAAACATGCGAATTTAACAATTTCACAATTAGGCCTATGTGATTTAATCTGAATACCTATGCAAACAATTGAATCTTTATATTCGCCTTAAATAGAATATTTTTCAGCTAAACGAAAATTCCATAAAGTGTTTGTTTAAAAAAACGTAATCATTAAAAAGTAGGCCTATTAGAAATCCCTCCAATTCTCCTCTGGGAAACTCCCATTTCCTCATCAACGCGGGTTTATTGTGGACTTTTCCGTATCTTAAAAAAGGGATTCCTCCTCTTAATCACAGCTCAGATCGTGGCATTGGTGATTATTCTTATCATCAGATGTTAATAGGCCCCTGGGTGCTACCCGCATGCTCCCCCGGATTATTTAAAGAGAGAATTCTAATATTATTAATGTGGGATTATTCATGTCGACATGCTCCAGACTGGCCTCATTAATAAATGAACGATCCTAATCAGGATGTAGTGCGGGGGAAAGCCTCACTGAGCCACCCTTTATCTGCTCAACACAGTCGCACCTTTTGGATTTGACATAAATCTGGAGGATATAAATTCACATATCTGTACCGTACAGTCAACACGGCATGCGGGGTCAAACTAAGTTATATGAGTGTTTGGGGGATTTTACAGAAATCATAAATTAATGCTTTCATTAAACTCTAAAATGTTTGTTTTAAAGTCTTTTTACGGAAATAATAATAATAATAATAATAATAATTGTTTATATATTCTGCTTTTCTTTCACTGCCTGACCAGTGTAAATAAAAGTGGGACTGACTGGTTTCCCTACTGACCGCCACATATTGGATAGAGGGAATCCGGTTGATTTGTGTTCATGTTGTGAGTGTTGGCTTTATGAATACAGTTTACCGTCCGTTTTATTGGCTGTGAAGTGCCGGTGTTTGTCTGCCTCCAGGTGATAGTCTGCTCCAATACTTTAACACTAGTTACACACATGGAGACTAATGTAACTGCTGTATTTCACGGGTTGTATGGCTATTTATTTTTATCATTATTTGCATTATTATTATCATTATTATTGTTATCATTATTATTATTATTCGTTGTTTATGCTTGAAATAATTATGGCAAGTGTTAATTTGAAGCAAATGAATGATCATAATAGCTACTTATTTATAAATAAATATATAAGTAAATTAAAAATGAGTGAAAAACAAACAATAAGCAGAAAACATGATGGGAGCTTTAGAGGCTCGTGCTGCTGGTCAGCGGGGTGTCACAGTCAAACGGAAATTGCTTCCACGTGCTCTAATGGAAAATAAATAAATAAAAATACTGTGAATGAATAATTCCGATGCCTCGCTTCCAGGGCCCTACCGGGCACCGGACCACCTCTTTCTCCGTACTGGACATCCTGGACCCCAACAAGTTCACGAGCAGCCGGAGACTCCAGCAGCAGCACGCGAGCCACCGAGGTGAGCGCGAGCTGAGCGCGTACGGAGCGGAGAACCGGAGAGGAGGGACGGCAGAGCGCGAGCCCAGCCTGGAGCCCAGTAAAGGCTGCTACGGTGCGGAGGAATACCCGAGCAGTGAGTCCCAGTTTACACGGAATGAACCTTTAAAGTCAGACACCTTAACGCACCACCGTCTCCACCTCAGCCTGTTTGTTTGTTTGGTTTTATTTTCCCGCCCCCGTTTTCTCTCAGTCCAAATGTCTTTAAACGTTAGCTTAAATGTGCTGCTTTTATTTCGCTTTTTTAAATTATTATTATCGTTTGACTCAGTCTAAATCTATTTGTGTGTTTTATTTGTTTTGAGGCCCTGGTTCACTCCCTACACCAAAGCATCCACCTTATTTCCGTCCTGTCTTTTCTCTTTATGGTTTATCCTTTCCTTTGGATGATGTGGGTTTTATTCACCTACTCTTTTATTTTGTATTAACGAATATCGAACTGTGTGCGTGTAGAGAGCCTCCGGTTTCACGGAAGGATCAGTGTGGGGACTGTTTAAAAACAGAAAGCTGTTTGTAAGACCAGCTGAGGAGAGAAACCTTATAGAAAGCAGGCCGACACATTGGTAGAGAAGACGGAAGTGCTCATGCAATCTTTCTGTAAGTTGTTATAGAATCAGAAAATGAGAGTAAAGGCTGTGGTGCTGTTCACTGTCGGTAGAATGCTCTGCCAGAGAACAGCTCGTCGCCTTTAATTGGAGCTCAGTTAAAAGAGAAAAAGGCACGAGGTAATTGGCCACGGTTCGTGTGTGTGTGTGTGAGATCGGTAATATTGATTGGTGAATATCTGTTTCAAGCAGCAGTCTGCACTGTGTGAGAGAGCCTCCATTCAAAGCCATTAGCTCCATCCAACGTTTCCTCTATTTAATATTATTCAGCGGTTATTAACTATAACCCGGACAAAGTCTGCTTCTTTTCTTTTCCTTTAGATTTTAGAATTGATTCTAATTTTATTTTTATGTTTTTTCGATGTGCTTTCTTTCCTTTTCTATCCTCAAATCTCTAGATTTATTATATTTATTATATTATATTATTATAAATTTTTTCTGACCTTTGGTAATTACACCTCAGTACAAAAATGAAGAAAAACTAAGTTGTACAAGCAGGTTGTGCCTAAACGACACAGCCAAACTTCATCTTAGAAATGTTTCCATTTAACTAAAAAACTGGACAGAGCAGAGATTTAGAAAAAGAATCCACTGAATGTTTCTTTCTAAAATGATTCATCTATTTTTCTAAATAAAGCTCTAGCATACAATAAAGAATTTTTGACCATAACCATTTACAAATTGCTACATTTGTATACACCTGTATATATTAGATTTTAATATGTAATTCAGTCAGACCACTAGACTGTAGTGAAGATTAATAAATACATTTGTGATATACTCTAAGATGAATTATTAAAATACAAAAAAATATAATCATATTTTTTAAATGCTACTTTTAAATATTCTAACTACCATTAATAGTAATGAATTGCTCAATAACAGCATGTTTGGGCCCAAGAGAAAACTCAAAACTCTTCAAATTAAAATGTTGAACACACCACACACTGGACTAATTTGTGTCTTTATGATAAAATGTTACACATTAAATTGGTGGGCAACCTGAAAGGAATAATGGCCTATAACTTTTCTCTGCAGCTAAAAATAAAATCTTCATACAGTTTCCCAGTTAAAGTTAGCTGGCTAATTCTTATACACCTCTCATTTTATTTTGCTTTTATTGTAGTCATAATAACACATGCTCGGTGGGGTCTCAGGGGAGAGCAGGCGTCCTTTTTTGGAGATAGAAAGCGACTGATTAAAAAAACTATATTATGTTCATGTTATAATTTAGGGATTTTTGATTTTTATTTTTGTTGTTGTTTTAACTTTCGAAACACGTGAGCACTGAGCAAGGCTGGATTACCAAGCATGCAGAGCGGGAGACTTCCCTCAGTGGGCCTGAAGCCTCTGGGTGCCGCTCAGTTTGCTGTAACTGAACTCCACATGGTCAGTGGCTGGAATGTGTTAGTTAGCCTAATAAACCAAAGCACAATGTACAGTGAAACTGGAGAAACCCACTGTTCATGCATTCTGGCCGGGGGCCCTCTAGTGGGTCCATCCAGCCCTGGCTGTGTGATTCAGTTGCCAGTTGGCCGGCCTCCAGATGTGTGGCTGATATTTCCACTGAGCACGGACTAACTGTGTGATTAGTTCCTCTGGATCTGATTCACACTTAAATGATAATGAGACATCAAGGCAGGGGAGGCCTCAGTGGTTTTTATTGTGGCTGATTGTTTCATTTCTATACTGTACACTGTCTTGCTTAGATACTTTTCAATAAAGCACATTCCTCAAAGGTCTAGTGTTGTATTATAGTGATATAGCCATATATCATACACCATATTACACTAGGACAGAGGTGGGTTTGACAAGACAGAGTATCAGCTGGGATCACTGTGGGGCACTTTCATTTCTTACTGCACATTTATTTGTTAATGAACTAAAGCACAGTATACATTAAAATGAAGCTATAATCTGTAACAGTTCTACACCAAAATGTCTAAAAACGCTGGACCTGTGTTCTATGTGTAGTTGAGTTCCAACAAGGTGTAAACTCGGAGAAATCTGTCATCTTGTTCAGGTAACGCTGCACGCCTTAGTTGTTATAACATCCAGGTAACCAAGGGATACGTCAGAGAGTGAGGAAGGAAGCTAGCAAACACAACTAAAAGTAAACTCAATGGTAGTTGTTTATCAATGAACAACTCCCATGATTCCACACTACTTCACAGCATCATCAAACTAGGTCTTTTAACATTGTTTTGTTGTGAGAGACCTCCCTGCAGCCCTGTTTCAGACAATCTGTCTGAATGATTATTCCAGATTTATTATATTCTGATATATCAGTAACACACTGAAATATCTAGAAATCAATCACTTCTTTTACAATTTTTACTTAAGCTCATCACCGAGTCTAAAACAGATCATTCATTACAGTTTTTTAAGGCACTGTTTTCAATGAATGTGTTTAATTTGACACCAAACTGGAATGGCAAGCAAGGTGATTACAGTGAACTAAAACCAAACTAAAAACTAAAACAGGGTGTGGAAAAAACATTTTAGTTTATTGAAACAGAAATAAAACCTAGACTTAAGAAAATAACTAAAATAACTGTGTACATATTGTGTACTTACAAAACTAAGTGAAATAAAATACAAATACACAGGAAAGGTTTTTAATTTTAGTCTTTGTCAATTTGGTCAAATAAGTCAACACAACAAGCGTAAGGAGTGTTTGTATTGTGATACCTTTTCTGAACTTCTTCAATCTTGCCCCTGACAAATACCCCCATATTATAATCATTTGAACAAAAAGTGACACTGAAACTAAAACTAAACACAGTAAATATTTTGAACAATAAAAACTAAACTGAAACAAGCAAACCCACTCAGTAAACACTATACTCAGCTGAACTGAAAACAAAAACAAAAACGAATGAAAAATACAAAAATATGGTTTAACCTTAGCTGTGGCCGCTGCCGCCTGAAGCCCCCCTCTGGATCCGCCCCTGCTCATATGCTCTATATCTCCACTCACTAACCGGGGCACAAGGAAAAACAGAAAGATGGGTACCAAAAGGGGCCCCCAGCTGTCTTTTACTCAGGGGCCCCACAGCAGCACATAGTGGCCATTAGAGGAAGTGCAGCCCACACACACACTGATGAGTGCAGGACTTACATTAGAGCAGTTGGATCCTGATGATGTAATGGAGGTTCTCTTTCTCGTGTGTTTCCAGAGGAAGGATTTGTATACAGAAGCCCAGATGAGGAGGACTACCACAGATCCGGGACCCCAGACTCAGAGGCTCCAGACGGGCCCTACAGCAGCGAGGAGAGCAGCTCAGCTCTGCCCAGTAACGGAGACAGAGATCTGGGCCAGCACAGCCACCAGGACCCTGGCAGAGACACCTCAAGCCCCGGCGGAGGCCCCGCAGGCCAGATCACCAACGCCCAGACCAATGGGGGCCAGGGCCAGCAGGGCAAGCCCAAGAGGAAGCGCTCTGGCTCAGACTCCAAGTCGGGGAAGCCCCGCAGGGCCCGGACTGCCTTCACCTACGAGCAGCTGGTGGCGCTGGAGAACAAGTTCAAGTCCACACGCTACCTGTCAGTGTGCGAGCGGCTCAACCTGGCCCTGTCGCTGTCCCTCACTGAGACCCAGGTCAAGATCTGGTTCCAGAATCGCCGGACCAAGTGGAAGAAACAGAACCCCGGAGCAGACACCTCCGCCCCCACCGGCGCAGGAGGAGTGGGAGGAGCTGGAGGTACGGGAGGGTCGGGAGGTATGGGGAGCCTCAGCCCTCTGAGCCCGTCCCCTCCGATCAGCGGGCACCTGGCCATGCACGCTGGCTACGCCAGCCACCATCACCCCCCC